CCAGGCATATCACTTCTTTCATTTTCCTGGAGGACTTCAGCAGTTCAACACACTGCCATTTGGGTTTTGCAAAATAGGCAAGTTCACCCCTCTGATTTTTGGGGGTGAATATATTAAGTTCTTTGGTAGGCACGCTAACTTTTGACTATGATAAAAATAAACATTGTCTGGAATATTTCAAAATTACCTAGTCTTACAAACATACAGATATGCTTCATTACTTTTAAAGTAATAGCTTCAAGAACAAATGTATTTATAAAATATAGCACTGTTACTTTTGGTCATTCTCTACAATATTTATATTTGAACCAAACATGGTTCTGTAACATTCAAAGGAAACATTCTGTTCTGCTGATAGAGACAGGTGAAAGTGAGACGCTGGATGGGATAATAAGCCTTAAAACTCTGAACATGTCTGACACATGCAAACTGGATAAAGTAGCAGCAGTGAAGTGGTTCACTGCTTGTCTAATTTGTCACTATTACTTTGAGGTTATTATCTTAGTATCAGACTAACCTAAAGATCAGTTTCCTGTCTGCCAGACAAATTCAACAGGTACCAATTTGAATACTAGAAAAAATGTGAAACAGAACATACTAATGGTAATATCATTTGCATAATTAACTCAAGCATTTTAAAGAAAATGTCACAATCTGTAGCATGTTTATGAGAAAAATTTGAGAAGTACATTTGTGATAAATAGCCTTTTGTATAATAAAGCAGAAAAATTAGAGAACAAAGATTTTCTTAGGCATTTATGAAATACTCCAGACAGCTGTGCTAAGAAACATAAACAATTAAAATAAGTTACTGATGTCACTTACAGGAACATTTTAGATTAAAGTTTTTCACTCAATCACCTTTACAGGCACGGTTATGTTTCCCACATCCCGGGGAATACAGGCGGGTAAGAAGCAGTAATCTGTAAACTTTACATGGGTTTCTCCTTTCACTGTGTAAAAGCAGAACTGATGAACTTAAAAGTTGTAATATGGCCAGCTTTAAAGAGGAGGAACTACCACAGAGTCTGCCTCTACATCACTGAGTAGTTCGTAGGAAACAGCTTCCTTTCTGCTCTATATTCTTTTTTAATCTTCATATATTTTCTATAAACCTCAAACTGTCAGAAATTTGGGACAACCTATTCTTTCAGAATACCAACTGCTTGAACTCGTCCTCCTATATCCACTAAAAACAGGGTCAAGTTACATATTTTTTTTCATCAGAAAGGCTGCTCTCTACTGTTCCCCGAGAAGTCTGATTCAAACGTCTAAGAGCTAGCATTTACTAAACTAATACCATAATTTGTATTTTTGTAGGTGACCAAATAGGAAGATGAAGACAAAGAGACATAGTAAGCTACACTTTGCCTTCCCTGTCACAATCTTTTCTTTGTGTCTGCAAGCAAGTGCAAACCATACTGATTATCCTAGGGCTGTAAATGAAACCTGGAATCCTATCAGCCAAAACCTAAGCAGAAGCCAGAATATAATGGAAGCCAATACAAATTCTCCTCTGAGCACCAATTTCAGCAGCAAAATGACTACTTCCGAAATGCAGACAAGTACCCTGCAATTCTTATTCTCCACAATGGCCCAAAATTCAACATCTTCCCCTGCCAGAAGTGCTGTTTCTGCCACTGCAGGACCCAGGAATACCAGCAAACCCAAGAGTACAATGACAAAAGAAATATGTGAATACAATAAGTCTCTTATACTGATTTGCTTCATTATAATAGCAGTACTTGTGCTTATCTGCACCTTCTTATTTCTGTCGACAGTCGTAATAGCAAACAAAATGTCATATCTCAAAAAAACTCAGCAAGGAAAACGTAGGCCCAGGAGCAATGGTGATATTCTGGCAACTAACAGTTTATGGCCAACTGCAGCAGGAACGTGGCAGAGGATGCCTAAGGAGACAACTGGAACTGACTCAATAATGCAAGACTTAATATCAGGGAGAGATGCTGCAATCCAAAGGAAAACCAAAGATGAAACTACTGAGAAACTCACTAAGGAAACAGATAACCAACAGGAAAACAAAGAACCATCAAAGTCACACAAACCCATTTTAACCAATTTTGTAGTTGAGATTTAATTCAGACTCAGGTAAAAACTCATCTGTTGCCTTTATGTCATTAATATAAAGCAAAAACTTAGCTTTCAAGTAACAACAAGAATTCTAACACAGGAAAACTAAATTCAGATCTTAAGGTTTTTCCTTTTATGATAGCAGGAATGCTATAGCAACTTGTAGATCTAGAAGGGAGTAAGATTGTATTAAACAGCTTTCTATAGTGTCAAGAATGGTTTTACTCCTTTGACCAGAAATCATGGCGACGGGCTGAATGGGATAAAACAAAAGGACAGAAGTCTGCCCCCTCTCAAAGATCATTAGGGGGAAAAAAAGGAAAGGACTGTTAGTCTAATAAATATACCATGCCATAAGGTGCTACACAGGTATAACCAAGTTGCTTTTTTAAGAAAACCATAATTCAGTCACAACTTTGATGCAATTACTGAATCAGGAACTAGTCCCTCTCAAAATGCCCTTTCAGCTTTTTCCATCAAGAACTTCTTACAGCAGCTTAATTGCTTTTGAACCAGATAGAGATTTGAATCATATTTATTATGTTTCAACTTTGTGTATGAATATATGAAGTTTGTATTATATGTTAGAATATGAAAACTGTTTCAATTTGTTACCTCCAATAAACTAGCAACATCAATTTTCAAATAACGTGACTTCTGTGATACTATTTCTCTAACTCAAAATATTACAAAAAATAGTACACAAAGCATTTTGGAATATTATATTCCTATAACATTTGCTGAAGGTCAGTAAAGGTCTTCTCTGATGGCTAGCTGTGATTTCTTGCATCATGGAAACACACTCCACTTTGTCCTTAATACAACCAATTAGAACATGCCACAAATTTCTTCCAAACCACCAAAACTTTTAGCTTCTTTATTCTCATATAGACCTGATTTTCCCATACTTCTGAGGAGATGTCTGTGTCTGGTCTCACTACAGCAGAGCTTTGTTATTTTAAGGAAACACGAGAAGCTTTTCACAGGCTACTTCTTGGGTGGAAGATGATCTGTTGCACCATGGTTACAAGTGCTAGAACTGCATAATGACAAAGCTCTAAACATCCTGTGCATCTGTAATAAACATTTTTGACACAAGAGATGGTTGTATGAGTTTGAAAGAACCAGGACATGACTGAATCCCCAATTCATGTTCCATTACATCACCCATAAACTTTGCTGAAAGGGCAAGTAAAGAAGCAACAGAGAAGCAAGAAGACAGTATCATGGAAGCCAAGAGCGCAAGAGCTAAAATAATGCAACTGCCCATATCAAAGGTGGTTTGTGTAGTAAGGAAGATAAAGTTGGAAAGAGTTTGCAAGCTTAGCCCAGAACTGGGAGTCATTAGTAAATAAAGAAAATACAGGGCAAATTCCAATGAATCTGCCATAAACCACATATTCAGACCTTAGCGCTCAAAGGGATGAGGCACAACACACAAGCAGAATGGGAGGACAAGGGATTATGTCAGGCATTTCTAAAACATGAGGAGAAAGGCGAGAAGAGTAAGGGCAAACTGTGACAGACCAGTGATGACAACCTAGTACTTAGGAGATGAACTGAGAACATCTGACATTGGTGACAGAGAGCTGAAGGGCAGGCTTGGGGGATGCTGCATTGCAGTTACCTCTTCCATCCCCAAAATGACCACAAGCACAGGAGGCAACAGCAGAGGCTGTGCAAGTACTAAAAAAAGAATCTGAGGCGGCAAATGTGAGAATCTAACCTGGTATAAAACTGCTCACAGCTAGGAAGGTAACATAACTAAAACAGGAGAATGAATCTCTAAGAGCTAGCCGCTCTGCATACAGGACCATAGTAAACTGTTAGCAGGCAGCAGATTAAAGGGGTAAACCAGCAGTGTCATGAAAAAAGCTGGCAAAAAAGGAAAGAACCAGGATCGTATTAGTGGAAGGAAGGAAAAACAGGAAGGAAAAAGAACTAACTGCCAGTGAGGTGGGAACTGTGGCAAAAGATAGGTGGAGACTATGAGGGTTGAAAAGAATGGGGATGAGATAAAGGAATCAGACAAGAAATTAGGAGTTATAGTGTGAGTATGGGATCAGGATTTGTGTTTGCTGCAGGAGCAGGGAGAGTCTGAAAAAGAAAACTCATGCAATCAGAAGAGAGGCACAACAGGAAAAGCAGGAGGAGATGAAAAGCTGCAGAAGGATCTGGCAGTAGCTACTTGGCACACTGGCAGAACACACTTGCAAAATACCGTGAGGACATATTTGTGCATGTTTCTTTTTGCCAGGCAGCCTTTCTAGGCAAAAATGCTCAAGGAGTCAAAAGAAAGTAGTTTGGGTTACACTAAACGGTATGGACAAAGACAGACAGTGGGAGAACAGCTGCCCAGAGAGCACAGCCCTCCATTAATGATGGTAGCAGGTACCAAAGTCATCCAGACAGAATAATAACATGGGAGGGGCAGGAGAAGGGTGAAATCTGTAGTTATCTGCCTTTTAACTGCACAAATGAAGATGCGTAAGCAAGCCAGCATCCTGTGATCAGATAGCTTTCTATGACTCACTGTAATGAACCTAAGGTTGATTTTCCACTAATAGTCATGACAGTGCACCAAACCCACCACTGAAATTAAATCAGTAAGATCCAAATCCAATCCGAACTTGCATAATTTTTGACTCGCACAGAAGTAACTGTAAGTATTTTCAACAAAGACAGGCAGACAAGTATTTATGAATTTCTACATAATAGGCACATACTGGGCAAAAGCCACAAAATTTGAGTTCTATAAAAATGGCAGAGCTGAAAAGTTTGCTCATAAAGCATGCAAACTCCGAGATAGGGCTCTTAGTAATCTCCCCACTCTTGACACTTCCTGCAGCAAGTGTTGGTAAACTTCCTCCTCAGCTGCAGAAACCTACTTCAACATGAAACGAGCCATTTTAAGCTGCTTGACTTTCAGCACACGGTCCGTCTTCCTAAGGCTTCAAACAAAAAAGTAAGACGATGCTTGCCCGATAGAACATAAATGTGCAGGTAAGAATCAACTTCAAGATGGAAAAGCTTAATATTTGTATTATTTGGTTTGAAATGGAACTGCACTGTGTACAGCACTGTGTTTGTCCTGACTTCAGGATGTATTCAAAGCTCTTGTTGAATGTCTGTATCTTAAAAGTATTAGGGTTTCAAACACATGTTGTTTGATGTTGTTACTATGAACTATCATGAACTCAACATGTAAGTATTATTTAACTATATTTTGAGAAGAGCAGAATAAAAATTAAATTGAATCATTTTTAACTGTTATAAACCTTATAGAGTTCAGATCAAAATGTTCTCAAGAAGCATTAATTTATTACTCATACGTGTTTAGACTATTGCATCTGAAATTTAATTTTGCATATTTGTAAACCCACAAAGATGTATACATATTAATTTCCCAGAAACAGCTTCATATAACTAGCATTACAGTAACTAATAAATGAGCTCAAATTGCATGAAAATAACTTCAGATAAAAAAACCACTATGTAGTGGATATATTTTATATCATTTATTTCATACAGAGACATTCAGAGACCTGAACTCTAAACAGTACAGGAAAAAAAAAGGTGTTTGTTTCATGCCAACAACTTAACATTAACACAATCTCCTCCATCACAAAAAGCGTTCCACATGCCTGAATATATTTATAAAAACAGTTTAACATTAAAGTGCTGTTCCATTACAGCATCAGTATTTGGAAACTTCTTAAAAATTAATATGGTCTACCCTTAACTGCTGAAGAGAGGCAAGAACAGGAAATAAAAGTTTAAGAGAACTGTAAAGACCCTTTAAACTTAGGTCTCAGCTTATATCCATCAAAACAAGACAATTTTCTTCACCCGTGACAATCGTGTTGTTAATACTGCTCAAGTGTTTCATATTTTGTTCCAGGTCCATAACCATTTACATGATTGATAAATGTTATTTTGAAACACTGTTAGGGCTTCTCTGCTGATGCCTTTTTCTGATAAGGTGAAAAAAGGTAATAATCAAGACATTCCCTTCAGAAAAGTCACTTAATTAGAATGATCAATAATGTTGAAAATCTGCTTGCTGTTGTCAAGTCAGTGACAAACCTGCTTTGCAAATGGGAACAGGCATGAAATTTTAAACATTGGGTCTAATATTATTTTCACTACTATAGTATTAACATAAAATTGTCTGGTGTCAGTAAAGCGTAACAATACAACACACACAATTTTCAAGTTAATATGTTCTGTTTCATTCCTGCTATAGGAGAGGACATATTTAAAGAGGCTGCAGGAAAATGGCCAGCAACCAAGTAATACTGGTTCTCTTCTATGGAGAAATCTGGAAATCACTTTCTACAGCAATACCTCAAAACATTTCCATGAATAAAAGAAACGCATATACCAGTATCAGGAACCCAGCAGAAGACAAAGCTCCTCTACATCAGTTGCAAGCAACTGGACCCAGTTTACACAAATCTGGAAGAGCACTGACTGTTGCGACACCACCTCAGTTCCCTAAAGCACATGCAGAACCTAGCGATGGAAGCTGGATAGCAGCACTGATAGTTGGTATCATTTTGGTTAGTATGATAATGGCTATTATTTTAATTCTTCTGCGGAAGTGCTGCAAGAAGTCAGTTCTAGTGGATTCAAATTGGGCAGGTCGTTCTCCATTTGCAGATGGAGACGTACCAGATGTCTTTATGGACTCTGACCAGACTACCAAACGTTCATCAGTTTTATTTATGTTGCCTTGGAAATCGAAGCAAGACTCAAACTTACAGCAGGATCCCACTGCATCAGAGAAACCATCCCACTGCACTACCAGTAATGAAAACAGGCAATTGCCTCCGCCAGCTGAAGCATGCTCTGTAGCCGGTATTTCAGTTCCCAACACGGATGCGTCTCCAGCTCCCACCTCAGCAGCAGCAAGCTGCGCACCCGACTCCGGTCCTCACCCAGCGGCATCACCTGAATCGCCCGACCTGCCACCTCCACCTGACTGGCTCAGGGAACCAAGGGAGGATCAGAGTTCGGATCTCGGCAAGACCCAGGAGTTTCACTCAGAAACAGAGGAACAATTTCCCCCACCACCCGAGTTACATACTCAAGAGAGCCAGGAACCACTGCCCCAGCCAGAACACCCTTTACAGACTGCCAAAGCTGATTTCCAGCATACTTCACATTTTTCTTAAATGAAGTATTCTTCAAATAACTGAAAAAAAGGGGAAGTTGACGCAGGCAAGAACAGTGAGACCACAGCATGAGCATTTCCCCTGTGTTTCTTAACTTCAGCTTTCACAAAAGGCAACAACTTGCTTCTGCCTGAAGGAAATCATTACAAAATACAATACAGATTGTGCCCACTAATTATTTGTAACTAGTGATTCCAAATTTTGGAGATTACAGAAGACAGAGTATGCACACCTTTGTGTGCCAGTATATACATACATGTAACTACACATAAACACTGAGCTTTCAAGAAACAGTACAGCTTTAGAGGGACTCAGAGCTTCTAAAAATTGTTTGTTCTACTAGGCTGTATAAGTGAATGCAATGAATTCAAGTTCATTTTAATAAAGCTTTCTAATTCAAAGATGTTTTGGTCACTTAAAGCACAACTGAATATTTGCTTAGATACAAACCTCCGAATTCAAAACAAAGTCTAAAGGCCTCGACATGCATACATATCAATGTTAATTCGAAGACCCGTTTTCTGCATATGACTGGGCAACAACTTGGTAACAATGGATTACAGGTACCTGAAACAAATCCTCCTAACAGCCATCAGTTGTTCTTTACTAATAGCAAAAAGATTTCCTTTAGATGAAGTATTGCCAAAAAGTTCACTGGTATAGAACCTCCAGTGGCTTCACACTATTGTTTGGTAAAGCAGAGAACAGTGCGAGTAAACAGTTAATATAGTGGTCACTAAAAAGCTGAAATGGCTCCAAACACTTGAAGAACAAGTACAAAAAGGCTTTCTTTTACCTAGATACTTTGGATTTTTACGGATAAAACAGAAACAGTGTGCAGAACACTCAGGCAAATGATTAGCAGAATTAGTTGTGCACATTCACTAACTTCTTCCTCTGAAGCAGTATTTTCAAAATGCCCTCAATATTATTAATATAAACTTTAAAAATTTATTTAATGTTGTGTCGGTGCCAGATTCCTTTTAACACAAGGTGTCTAAGTGTTTTACATGTTCCTTTCTGGGCCCTGAGTACAAGTGTCTAAAGAGTAGTGTCCTGTCTAAAGAAAAAATGCATTTTGATAAGCTAACTTTTTAGTGGGAAGTAGGAGGGAGGTCTTAGAGGCAAATTAATTTCCTTTTTTTTTTAACCTGTACTGAACGTTTAGATTTATAGAAAGAAGCTGCTAGATGCTGAAGCTAGCTTTCCATGACATGTCTGCAAAATGGCAAAGAGTTTGTAGTTTTGAATTTGCTTGGGGAGAGAATGTATCTGTGGATGTTGCACAGAGCACATGTTAGCACATATTATAACAATAAACTTCAAAATCTTTAAATTACCACTAAAAATAAGTTATGCAAATGCAATTCTAGGCTGCTGTGCATACAATGGACGTAGGAAAAGATATTTACAATTTTTTCTTACTCTTTATATAAGCTATATGACTGTGTATGCCTTAAGAACAGCATTCCAATTACGCAAAGATTTTTTTTAAGGCTTGTTGCGTTACACCATGTTAAAATTAACAGCATTATAAACTATATCCACTCTTACCATATTGTTTTGAGAAATTCAGATAAAGATTACCAATAGAAATCTGTAAAATCCTACAAGCTGAGCTATATTATACCTGACAATATAGTGATAGCCTGATCTGAGGAGTAGAAAACTGAGTATTTTAAAATGATGAAAAGATATTCTGGCAGCGTAGCTTAAAGAAGCTTAAGATAGGAAGCCTAAATTAACATTAACCTTTATTACAGGAGGAGAGGTTAACCTAAGGTAAAAAAGAACACAACTTAACATGACTTTTTAAATAGGAACATTTAAATGGAATCACAGCTTAAGCTAAAATAGTCTACAGAAATTTCATTTGGTACTGTTTATGTAGGCAATCTTACATGTTATGTTTTGAGGCATTAACATAGCATAAAATATAGAAACGGAGAAGTTAACTAATTCAAATTATAACAACCAACTATTTTATTGAATATGCTCGCTTGGCAATAAATTTGAGTCAGCACCAACGACAGCTCTGCAGTCCTCCAATGTAGTGCAGATCAGGTGGTTGCAGAGCCCCAGCTAGCAGCAATACGATGCAGCTGAAGAGGCAAGCACAATCCACAGACAGCAACTGTAGCTACTCTCTAGAACAAGACGACCTCTAAGCTTAAATCTTTCACAGAAATGATGTGCTGATATTGCAGAAGAGATTACGGTAAGTTTGTTTTTTGTTTTTAATCACAAAAACCTACTACAACAATAAAGACAGAAATAAGAAAGAAATTATTAGTTGATGACAGATGCTTGCACCAGAAATTTGCTGCAGTGTCAGAGATTTCTTACTAACATTAATCCAGCTTTCAAACATGTGTTAGCAGCTTTGAGAATGTAATTAACACTATAATAAGGAATAATAATAATGTGCATGATAGCATGAACATGGAATTTGGGGTTCAAACTAAATTCCTAACAGTTTAAGATGTATTTTAACCAATTCTACTTAAGCAAATAGCACGCATGTATGGGGGGGGACTGCTACATTACTGCAGAGATTTGTAAAGCAGATCCAGTTGACAGCCATTTTTTCATCCTGTATAAAAGAACACATTATTCCAAACATAATATAGGCTTGAAATCACTAAAAACAAGAAGCAGACATTGTATAACATTTGGAAGAGACTTGCATTTTCGGAAGAAAGCCCTCATTTGAGCTTGAGGGGGAAAGGGAGATGAAAAAACAAGTCTCATTCTGCCAGACAACATGACAGTCTATGAAGGGATGCTTTGTAAAGTCTCTCTTGAACAATTCTAAAAAGGACCATGCCACAAAGGGGTTTATTGATATTTTTACTTAATTTCTCCTGCAAGTGGCCATTGCAAAGACAACCCTTATAAAGAAATAAAATATATTACGTGGATTTAAAGGGTGTCATTTTGGTATATTTGTTTTCAGGCAACAATGGAATACCAGATATTGAATACATCTACCTGTCTGCTGGTCCTTCTGTTTTTCATACCCACTGTTTCGGGTATCTGTCCTTCTAACTGTACATGCTCAGGAAACGACAGGAATGTGGACTGTTCAGGCAGAAACTTAACTATACTGCCACATGGACTTCAAGACAACATTACATATTTAAATCTGTCCTTTAACCAGTTTGTAGATCTCGATCATCAGCTAACGAGATTCACCAATTTGAGGACCCTTGATATTTCAAATAATTGGCTCAAGAATGTTCCTGCTCATCTGCCCAAGTCCTTATGGGAATTATATGCCATAAACAACAACATTAAAGTTCTTCAGAAACTTGATACAGCTTACCAGTGGAATCTTAAAGTGCTCGATGTTTCCAGGAATATGGTGGAAAGAGCTGTTCTGATCAACAACACACTGAGCAGTCTCAAGTTTCTCAATCTCAGTAGCAACAAACTTTGGACAGTTCCAACCAATATGCCCTACAACATAGAGACGGTGGATCTATCCAATAACTTCTTGTCCCAGATACTTCCAGGAACACTGGTGAGACTACAACACCTTACAAGCCTCTACCTGCACAACAACAAGTTCACATACATTCCCGACAAAGCTTTTGACCAGCTCCTTCAGCTGCAAGTGGTAACACTATATAACAACCCATGGTCCTGCAGTGACAAACAAAATATCCCCTATTTGCTTAAATGGGTGCAAGGAACAGCTGCCAGTGTTATAGGGGCTCCCTGTGCTAATCAATCTCTGCTTTGGATGGATGCCACACCAACTTCAGCAGCTCCCACAGTTATAGACTCTAGCCTCATGATTAAAGGAATGAAGGCAGCAGACAAAGCTACTTCTCCAGTGGCAACAGAACCAACCAAAATGACAAAAATGCATAAACAATTTAAAGCTAAGGAAGTTACTACCTTGGCAACCTTAAGCCAAACTGTAGTGTTTACGAGCACAGACCGACCACTACTCCTCTACCCAGAAGATCTGACAACTAGGAAGGTTAGTTCTCAAGAAGCAGCAGCCACACACACAATGTACATCAAAGATTCAACCGAGGTGAACTCAAGCCTGACTCGTTCAACAGGATCAGCCACTACTCCTATGACTTTAAGCATCACCAGTGGAATGCCAACAAACTACTCCAAAATGCCTCAAAGCACAACTGCTACCTTAAGGAAAGAGGAATCCACTACAAATAATTTGAATACTCATGTGCCCTCCAAAGCAAGTATCTGTGACATGTATTTGTTTTATGTTGTAATGCTTAATGCAGTGGCAATGTTTATTGGCTAAGGGCTTGTACCTTGTGAAAATTATTGAGTTTATTCCTGTGATACATAGCTGGAGTTAAGACATCCAGTTGAAATAATGAACCAACAAACAAGAAATTCGAAGTTCTGACTCTGATCTAAAGAAAATAACAGTTCTTAATTAAAGAAGTGCACACTAATGTCTTGATACTAAGCTGCTACTTATTTTAATATGTCTTAATTGAGTAAAACTAACCTTGATTTTGTTTTTAAAAATGTGCTTATTTTGTATTTAAATTTTTAATTTTACTTGCACAGAATAAAACATCAGAATTTTAAGTACTGATTTTATGTATGATTTTGTCATTAAACAACTGGAAAAAAATAGAAGGCCTGTATCATATCTGCATTGTCTTGCTTGACTTGCCAGTGAGCAATTCTTGTAATATAGCAGCACAGATTCCTTGTAAGTTATGACGACATGCAAAAGGAAGGGAAAAAATAAAGGAACTAAACCTAGCTGTTTCACTAATCAGAAGTTATTCCTGAGAAAAATTGCTAGCATGTGTATCTATGTTTGCTTCATATGTATTAGGATATTTTATATATGAAGAACAACAGTTTTGAATTTAAGAATTAAATATGACAATGCCATGATGTCTACTAAGAGGGTGTAAACTGAGAAGGCAACATGGTCCAACTTCAGCATGGGAAAAGTGGTAGGGGCTGATATCTTTTTGCTCTGTCTTGACTTAGAGATTGCAGGCAAGTTATTTCTCACTCCATATTAAAAAAAAAAAAAAAAAAAGATAAAAGTAGAGGAAAACAAAAGATGTTCAATGCCATGACACTCTCCAACAACGAGGAGTTAGCTACACAAATATAATGAAAGGGAACTCCTTCACTTTATTTCAAGTGACATCCAAAAATCTGAAATGTTAATACATTATGCTCAAAAGAATATTGCAAATCAGCCAGAATGTATCAAACTACTACTTTTTGATCAGTAAAATGAAATACCAGCCAATTTCTAAGGCCAGTTATGTAACAAATCAATTAAGCAATTAGTTGTCAAGCTGTCATTGAAACAGTCCTTGAATCTTGTGACTTAAAAAAAATTAATTCAGTCCATGGCATTGAACATGCCCAAATCCTTGCTTTATAAGGATGAGCATGAATGCTATTCTCCTCCTATGCACCATCAGTGAGTAGAAATAGTTGCACGCATGGTTCTGTCCACTCTAGGAAAATACTTTAAATTATGTGGCAAAGGTACTTGATATACTACAGATGAAGTTTTGCAAACAGCATGAAATGAAAACTGAAGAACAAGTTCATTGAAAAAGTATTATTCACTTAATATTACAAATCTTTATACAATGTTTTCCACTCATTTCAGGCCATTTAATTTCCAGTTATTGTAGCATGAAGGTGCTGCAAACCCCAGAAAACCTCACTACTGAGACTGGAGTCCTCTACCTATTTCTCCTAGGTGTCAATGAGGGCTGTAGACCATTTACAACCACTGGTATCTGAGAAATCACAACTTTGCAATTGTGAACAGTATTTCTATAACCAGAAATGTGTTTTAATTTCTAACAGTAAATGTTACACAATGAATTTGTACAGTTATTTCATTGGCATTTAAGTAAAAATAAAGTTACGTTTGTATTGAACTGAATTAGTGACGGTGCTTCTTTTCAAATAAGCATAGTAATAACACCGAATAGGTAATATTTTATTATACAAACCCATTTCAAGCAGACATTTGGCTCAATCTTCATGTCTTATGGGGGGAAATTATGGTTAAATCAAATTGTATTACTTTAATACTGCTGTACCCCGAATATTGTTTATTGATAAGCTGATGAGATAACAGTAACATAGGGTTTACACTTCCCCTTCCTACCCTTTAGAACTTGCAAACATCTAAGGCACTCTATCCACTAGAAAAAGGCAGCTCTTTCTCCCTCTCAAAAAAAAGATTCTCCATGTTTAATAGGACAGAAAACCTAAAAAACCCCCGAAACCAAAGACTGACATACGTTTTAGGTAGACAGGGATTAGTTATCCAAGTGAAAGTTTAGACAAGCTAGACCATAAGCAATATGTGCATGGTAACCTTCAACAGCCAGTGCAAGTGCCTCATTATATAAAGTGGCTACCAGCAGTCTGAAAGAGTTGCCCACTTGCACAAGTTCCATATATTTTTCCCCAGGTTAAACCATCTGACATGAACTGATAAATTCCACTAACTAGGACCAGTATTAAAAAAAGTCACTGCCTGCCGCTCTCTTTGGACAGTCAATGTATTTGCAAGTACTGACTGACTATAAAACAGTATCAACCTACTTATGTTCAGAACTAGGTACTTCCTAGAATTATCTCATCCATATGGTTTCATCCCACACAGTTTAAAGCAGCTTAGCTTGCAAGGTAGGACAGAGATCACAAAATGAGGTGCTATGACTAAACTGCCTTGAGTTGAGGAAATTACATGAAATACTACACATGTCTTTGCTGAACAATTCAATACAGGATGCCAAATGCCATTGCATGCAAAAAACCTACATCGAATCAACTTTAAATGTTCTGAGAATGTTTCACCCATAATAAGACTATTCAGTCAACAGCAATCCTATAAAAAAAATACTGTTTTCCAGAAGTTGTTTGGGGCAAACGGCAAGCCCCCACACCGAATGACTTGCTAGCCAGACTTCAAAGTTTCGTGCATGCTGATAAAAGCTTAGAAGTGGAAATGGGGTCATGCGGTTTTCCAATACATGTACAGGATTGGGAAGCTAGGATACAAAAAAATTACAGATGGGTATAAAAGTAAGATGGCACTCCCAAGTTCTAGGGCTGTGCTCTCTACCCAAACCTTCCTTGCCTGTGGTAGGTGCAAGCAAGAGGGCTTCTTAGACTGCTTTCAATAAAGCAGGCTGAAATTTAGGTTTCCTTGTATTTTTCTGGAATACAAATGAGTTGATAATGGAGCAGAGAGTAGGCAGGCAAATGTAGGAGTCATGCACTTGTTGCTTGGCAACGGTGCAGTCAAACTGAAATAATACTGATAGGCATGGATGTGAACATGACAGCAACGGTTTGTGTTGTTTTAAACATGCTGGTCATTCAGTCCATGATAAATATAAAATAATCTATTTTCAGAGAAATTATTTTTTCCAAAATAACTATTTAGCATTTCAGGACGATATTCAAAATACCCAAAAAAGGTCTAGCGCACCTTGTAATAGAAATACGATGCTTTTGAAAGGTTAAAACTGCTGTAGGGATAGCTGTGGTCTGAAGCAATAACTCAGAGGTTTGTATTCCTATTAATTAATTTGGGATCAGCTTTAAAACTTAATGGCAGTACTTCAGGATCAGTATTTATTGATTTATTGATCATTTTAGTAACAGTGTAGGGATTAAAAACAGAAGAGAACTGGCTTCAGAAGTCAGGTTGTTGCCCAGGAAACAAAATGTGAAGAAAAATGACAGAAGGAATTAAATTTCACAGCACAAGAAGGATATGAACTGATCCAGATATATCAGTAAAATGACTCAACAATGTCCTAGCAACAAGATCTCAAAAACCACCCAAAAAAAACCCAAACCCAACCCCCAAACCAAAAAAACCCCAGCCTCCTGCAAGCCCTCAAACATCCTGGCAGCTCCAATCTAAACAGTCTTTCTACATTTCACACCTTTAAAAATGACATCTAGCACAGAACCACAAGACAAACACCCCAAATAAGCACCACTTAGCCACATTCCTATTAGTAGAAAAGATGTCAGAGCATCATTCCAGAGCAAAGCCCCACCTGCTAGGTTTGAAAAGGCAGCCTCATGGAACAAAACTGAAGAATTACAAAGCTGCTTAAGAGGACGCAAGCAATAAAAAGGGAGGTAAAGGCAAGCAATATTCCACCTAGTAGCAAGGCTTATGTCAAAGTATAACAATATTTTCATTAAGTATCCTGTACTTGGATAGAATGTATACAAATCTGCTCCTTACCACAATGCAGGAACGCATAACTGACTTGTACCATGATCACTATGGTTTAGCAGTGATTTTTCATTCTCCTTTGAGGAACTGAGGTTTGTGTTCATTTAAAAATCCCTCAGACACAGTTTATAAAGCTATTTTATTGAAGACAACGTCTCAGATTGTTAAACTGCCAGGTAACTTGGTCAATGATTAACACTTCATATTTTCTGTACAGTTCACTATCACAAAACTAGGGAATCATCTCCATTCTCCTAAGACTGAAGAACAGCAGATCTGCAAGAGATCAGAGGCCATTCTGGAGCTCGTTTGTATTTATAGTCTCTTTTCACCCCCAAACCACAATTCAACAGCAGACAGTTTGCTGACTTTTGAACCCACCAGCTGGGTGGGGCATACAGATCATAATGCAGCATTAGAAAAATGCCACGGCAAACTTTTATAAACACTTGCCTCTAAATACCTTTCTGATGGCCAGTTATGAAAGAGGATCCACTTCCACTATTGTCTGATGTTCAAGCTTTGTTTTTAGTCATCCCCTCCTTTCTGCTGAATTCAACAATCCTTAAGCATCAGTTACTAAATAAAAGGTCAGGGCTATCCATACTACTTCGCCAAGTAAAAGAACTTAAAAAGCAGAGTTACACACAGAATAGGTATTTTAGAGTTTCATAGCGATCTAAACAGAATTACATACATAGCAGTGAGATACGTAGAACTAAAGAGTTCCCATGCTAGGAATTTTATACTTTCTGAACAGCTACTAGTTAATACAAGATGGTTCAGAAAGATGAAGATGGCATAACTTATTTTGGGCAAGTCAGAAGATTAAATATTTGACTATCTTTTTTTTCTAAATTTGTGTTATCTCTGTGTGATCAGCTACTGGTAAGCTGGTAATGAAAAAGTACTTTGCAGTGCTTTCTATTTAATGTTCTCATTTTTCAATTTTTACATCTATTGTCTCAACAGGCAAACTCTCTTGTGGACATGTTTCACAGCCAAATTTCAATATACACCCATAAAAGAACAACACTGTGTTTAATATACATACACTCAGTAGCTACTGACATGATAAACAAGTGGCATCCTCCTTTATTATTTATATACTAGCTTTATTAGGGCCCATTACTGGCTTGTCCAGACTTGGAAAAGTTTACTCTCAAACATCTGTGTACAAACGGTCACCCACTAAGCTGGCATCTTTTTCCAAGGAATATCACATACCCAAATCACAATCAGTATTTAATGATGCTAATGATTGTAAAATTTCTCAGTTAAGGATGCAAGCAGAAAAAGTTGACTTATTTGCAAGTAAAGGGCATGAAGATATCAGTCATAAAATCTCATAGTTCTCATAAATAGCCCTTATGCATGATTATGAAAAGCAGATTCACCTCCACTAGATTAGATATTCTGCAGAATTCAGCCCCCAAATGAATAGGTATTATCACTATTCTTTTAGTTCACAGTATGCTTCACTCATGACAAGTGTTAAGTAGTATATATACTTAAAAGTGAAAGATGCCATAGCCTATTTCAATGTCAGATTATATATTTTTGTAAATATGTCACCAGCTTCATTCTTGAATGTGTATAATCAAGTTCCAAGGAGTGGTTAATCAATTCCCCAGCCTTTCTGCCGATATCAGTATTTGATTGTGTGAGAATTATGTATTTCCTAACTATATGTAGTCCCAAGAAATCTGCTGCACAGGATTTGAGATGCAAACCACACAATGCTGAAGGAACATGATCATTATATACTGATAACACCTTTCCAAAAGCCTGT